ATATGACGTTCCAAAACGCAAAAAACAAATTGTCGCTGGAGAACAAGGTCAAAATATACAAGTGCATTTTAGCTCCTATGCCATACAGTAATACCGTAACTGCCAAGTCGCACCTGAATAAGATCCGCGTGCTACAAGCTAAGACCTTGAGGATGATTTTTGGGTCTCCATGGTACATAAGGACACGTAACATTGAGCGCGACCTTAAGGTGCCCAAAATAGGTGACGGAATTCAAGTGATTGCCCAAAAATACACGGAGAAGCTAGGAGCTCATCCAAACTGTTTAGCTAGACGCCTAAATACTGCCTGTCTCCGTACAAGAGTAAGGAGGAGACTCAAACGCCATCACCCTCAAGACCTCCTGAGCCGGGTCTTGACATAAATATCTCATACTAAAATTTAGACGATCTCCCCAGTATCACCCCTCAAGCCTCCCCCTTATAAGTTATCTTTAATTCATTGTCATGTTCTATCATGAATTATTTTGTTATTTTTAGTTTAATTTTCTGATTAGAGGAGACTTGAAGACTTTATGAATGCAGAAAAAAGACCAGTACATATCTAGCCTAAAGACTTTTATTTTATTCGTTTTTGAAAATAATAGTGTATTACAAGTTCGATATGATAGCATAATCACAGTTTAAGGGCTTTAACGATTTGCTGTGGCTAAGCATACAGCCGGAGCATACAGATCGAGCCGGTGAGAAACTTCATTATTTCACATTAGCCATAAGAATGAAAAAGCCAAAAAAAAAAAAAATAAACCGAGTAAATATTTTGTGTTTAGTAGCGGTGTGTAATGTATGTGTATTGGTAGGCATTTTCATGCATAATCCAAATGCCATTGTTGCTGCTGGCCAGCTCGACAGCCCGCCAGCTCGCCAGCTCGACTGTTGTCCGTTTATGTCGCGAAAACTTTGGTGTCCTAATCTGCTGCCTGACTTGCATACTAATTTGTTTGCTCTTAGCCTTCCTCTTCCTCTTTATATATAGCCGGCGAGTCTTACTCTTTTTAGATGCTTTCTCTACCGGCTTTATGGTTGTGCTCTTACTCTTTCGTTCTTTGTCGTTTTGTTGACAACCCATAGATTATGTTGTTGGTTTTGGCTTTTGTGTGTTGTTGTTATTGTTGTTGTTGTGCCCTGGCAGAGCATGTTCTGGATGAGTGTGTATATATGTATGCGAGTGTGTGAGTGTGTGTTCTGTCAGTGTCATGTTCGTATGGCTTATGCATTCAGTTTGGCTTGCGGCCTTAGTCTCTTGGACTCCATTGGCTGGTTTTGTTGGTTTGCTTTAGCTGGTCCTCCATAAGGCCCTGTTTAGCTGCTTAATTTTGCCCTTTGTCATGTTGACAGCCCTTCGACAGGGGCTGCCTTTATTTTTTTGGAGTGTTGCTTGGGTTCATTTTGCGCACAATTTAATGTTATTTAATTGGCATTAAAGTTTATGAAAATGTTTGTGTTTCGGCTGCCGGCGAACGGCCTTCGAACGAGGTCGCCTTCCATAATAATGTCGAGGTCAATTTTTATCTGAATCTGATTTATGTTTGATTTTCGCGTGCTTTAAAACTTGTTTTAATGCGAATTTATTTTTGCTTGCAATATACGTTCTGCAGCAGCAAATCTATATGAGAAATGTTTTTCATATAAATTTTAGTACGCGCTCAAAAGTATGCAAGGCATTTTGTTGTGTTTGGCCAAATTCAATTAAATAAATCGGTTTGCAGTTAATTTTCGTTGACATTTTAAATAGAATGTTAACCACAATATGGCCCCATATTTGACAATAAATCTTTTTATTTTTTAGCACAGCTCGCCTTTGCAAAATTGATGTTGCAATTTTCTATGCGTTATGCAGTAGCCCGCCTACAAATTTCATTCGCGCACAAATTGCATTGGCCTTTGGCGTCGGACAGGCGCTGCAAAGTTGACAGTAACACACACAGGACGCACAGCAAAAAAAAAACGGAAGCAAATAAAAAATATAAAATAAAATAACAAAAAATAATGGGGAAAAAATAACAAGAATTTAAGCCACGAGAGCAGCAACGACCATTCGCTGACAATGTTGGCGGAATTTAAAAATTCAATTTGAAAAAGTCAAATGTTTCGTGCACCTATTTTTTCTATGTAAAAAATCTTTATATATATAAATAGTTTTTGTTGGCTATAAAATTGGCCATATATGCCATGGAATTGCCACATGGGGCAACGTATTGTACAGCTTTTATTATCTAACAGTTTTTTTCAGAATTTAACAAATGTTAAAACTAGCAAAAAATGTCACTGTTACCCTGAAGAACAGAAGAGGAAAACTAAGATGGCTTCTGAGCAGTAGAAACGCATTGTCTTTGAAAAATAAAGTAACCATTTATAAATCCTGCATAGCTCCCGCCTGGCGTTATGATATTCAGGTATATGGCATTGCTCCAGAGTCCCGTCTTACAAAAATCAGGGTATTCTATATGAGAACTTCCGACTTGACAAAAGACCTAGGAGTGCCCAAGGTCGGGGACTTTATAAATATACAGGCCGCAAATTATATAGCGCGACTGAGAAACCATCCTAATCGTCTGGCTAGGCGTCTTCTAAATAGGCGTATAATTAGAGGACTCTGAACGCGGAGGATACTGCGACAGTCTCACCCAATCGATCTCCCACATTAAAATTTAGCTCAAGCTTGAGCTGATTCTTAGTAATGAAATCAGAGAGTCATTAAGAATTTGCTGATCAGATAAAATTTAAATTTCTTCAATTTTTATTCAATCGAATATAGATTAAAAGTAAGCAGCTTCTTTAAAAAAAAAAAACAAAACAAAAATATTTAACGCAACAGCTCAAATCAGCTCATTCTTAACTAAGCGATGCAACAAATTGTTAATTTTTGTAGCACAAAATGATTTATAATCATGTTGCCAAAGGCAACGAAATGCATGGTTAAAGTTTTAACTTTGTACACATAATTTAAGTGCATGTCTGTTTGTTGGACAATGTTGGCATTGCGAGCAGTGGAGACTAGAAAACGTTGTAATTAAAATTGCGCCCAGCTAACAAACATATTTCAGCAGCTGCCAAAATTGTAGTTTTTCATTTGGTCAGCCAAATATTACGCATACGCCATGTGCGGCACAAAGTGCGTTTTAATTGCCGCCGCGTGCTTTTATGAAGTGCACATAAAATGCCAGCCATGAAGTCGCCTTTGTGTGGCCTCGCCAAGCAAATGAAATGCAGCTGCACATTTTTGCATAGAACTCATAAATTGTAAAATCGTGAAATTTGTGCTAAAAATTTTGTAAGTGCTAACTTCAAAGGTTTGGTCAACTTAAGGCAGCAGCTGGTCCGTATGCTTATGCTGGCTCATAGCCAAAGGCTACATTGAAATCGAAAGTCGAAAAATTGCAGCTTTAACTGAACACTGCTTCAAATGGTGCTGCTGCTGCTGTTGAAAAAACAATTTGCCGAAGGATAGAAACATTAAAGGGCGACCAGAGCGGCACAGAGGCAAGGACAGCGGGACTGTGTGTGTCGAGTCGAAAGACACACTCCAAGCTGCTGCTGCTGCCCTTTTGTTGACCATTATGCTCAAGAGCGCTGACTGCATAAATTGCCGGCAAGCTGTCGTTAGGCAAACGAGCTAAAGCTTAGCGCCTGGAAGTATGCAGCAGATTGCGTCTTGTTGAAGCATATGACGATGCATATTTGAAAGGCAATTTCCTGATGCTCGAGCCGGTTCATCGATGCAAATGCAATTTCATTGTGTTTACAGGCACTTTACAGAGTGTATCTGCCCCCGGAATATACGCATAATTGCATTTCATATCAATTTCCAGGACACCTGAGCCAGTGCCTTAGACATTATTGTACACAAACAGTTGAACGGCATGCATGTTAATGTACAGCTGTCGTTCAATCGTTCAATCGCTCAATCGCTCAATCGCTGCAAACATTTCAATCAATTCAATCGCAAATTTCACATCCGCATCCGTTTTCCGGCATTTATTGATCCGCAAATTGTGCCGCCACCTGGCTGAATGCATGAAATGCATTTAACAATTTTCACACTTACACCGCAGCATTTTGTTAAATTCACATTAAATATACATGGGCCAGCCAAATGGCAGCAGCAACAGCCACAACCAGCGCCAGCAGAACCGTCAAAATGTCACTGCAAAAATCCATGAATGCTTACGTATTCGTTTATGCAGTCGCATATATTGGGGCGTGTTTTGGACAACTGTGGGCGTAACAGGCAGCTGGTTATTCACGTGATAACAGCGTATCCAGATACGTAACACGACATTGCAATTATATATGTAAATATGCACATGCCACTGTTGCTGTTGCATAAGGGAAACGCATACCACAGAGTGGGGCAAATAAAATCCAACTACAAACTAGATTTGTGCTCTAACAATTGCTGCAGGTAACTACAGCTTAGAACAACCTATTTAAACCTTTCCTGATGTGCAACAGTAAAGTATTCAGTTTTTAAATACTAAGCACAACTCAAACTATGAACAAACCAAAGTTAACAAAGCAAATAGGGCACAAATTACAAAGAAATGTAAAATGTTTTTGTTTTGTGGAGCAAGAGCAGCAATAAGTATATTTTATTTTTATAAAACAGCTGTCCATCAAAATTCTTAATTTTGGGTAAAAATTCAGGTTATTCAGCTCCATTTTGCCAACAATTAAGTGCGTTTATTAGTTATCCTGTGCAAGCTATAAACAACAATTTGTATTCAATTAAAACTGATTTGTGCCACAGTATTGCTTATTTAATTGTGGCCCTCAAATGTGACGCTCAAATGTTATCCGTCTGATTGGGCTTTCGATGATGCATATAGAGAGTGAGATGAGTTTATGCCCATGTGCTGGGCCGTTTAATTAAGGCAACGCAGTGGCAATGAATGCGAACTGTACCCCATGGCCAATTGCTCCATTGTATCGATGAAACTACATATTACTGTGTGCATTGATTAAGTTAATATTGGTGAAATTCACAGCTCGAACTTTGACTGCGACTGCGATTGCACTGCATACGTCAATTGGAAGCCCGTTTCGGATGCACTTGTCTGCGCATCGCTGGAGAAATACATAACAAAGGGCGGACGTGCGATTAGTTTGTTGCCGGCCAGATCGTTACCGCAATAATAAGTGGGCTGCAGTGCCTGATTATTTGCCATATATGAGTTGGGTATTAACAGATAGTCGGAAGCACGTCCCAAAGTTCGAACAGTGCTGTGACAGTCCGTGTCATAGCCAGCACCAGGTGCATCATTGAATTTGGATAAGGCAAAGTGTTCAATGTTGTAGCTGTAAAGTAAGATAAATCAAATACAAATTATTGCGTAAAATTAAATTAAATTAAATGAAGTTAACTAAAGTGAACAAACATTTATTGACGAGCTATTTGCGTGATATATTTGAACAGTCGTCCGCCCAAAGAGTTTTCACATGGCTAAATAGGAAATCAAAACCGCAAAATTTTAACAAAATATATGTTTTTCATATTTTTGTAGATCGAATGGAATTTCGACTCAAGACCAAGCTATCATCATCAATCTGGCCGTCTGTCAACAACTGTAATTGTAATATATATTGTCTTTCTGAACACTCACCTTATCTCCTGATTTGCGGCACCTGCCACACATATGGCGTACCTCAGGTCGGGCATATAAACGCCGCCCGCAAAGTTGAAGCTAACAATGCCGCCCGACGAGCTGCGCCAATACTGATCACAGCCCAGCGGCGCCAATAGCTCCAGATCAGCCAGCGAGGGCGCAGTTAACGTCTGGAACAGCTGCACAGCTGGACCAGGGCCAGCATTGCCACCAAATATGGTGCGTGGCAGTAAATTTCTAAAGAAGGGCAACAGGGGGCGTGCAGTGGGCAGGGGGGCAGCAGCAGCAGCTGGCTGCTGCGTATGCTGCGGACACTCGAGTTGTGTTAGCGTCAGCTGCCACGTGGACTGCGAAGAGTGGCTGCCCAATTTGAAGTGCAATTTCAGTGTCTGGCCCCGTTGCAGTTGCACGTACAGATGCTGTCCGTTGTTGCGGCCGCACAGCTGAAAACGCTGCACCTGCAGAAAATCGACGCACTCCAGCAGCTGCGTGCTGGCATTGAGGCGCGGCTGCGGCAGCTCCAAGCGCTCGAAATCGATGCGCACTTGACAGACCTGTGCGCTCCACGGCGCCACCTCATACTGGCAGCTGTCCAGCTTGTTGAGCTGCTCTGCTCCCGGATTGTGTATGACAATGCGCTTTTGCCGTGTGCTCGACATTGCATTGCACTGCAGCTGACAGCGAACAGCGGGATAAAAGCTGAGCAGCACCAAAAACTGCGCCTGCAACCAAAGTAACTTCATTTTTTTTTTTTTTGAAATTCTAACGTTTGGCAACGACAAAGAGAACGCGTTGATTTAATTTTCAAATTTGGCAGTATGTGGCCTTTTATATGTGCTGCTCTTATTTGTTATCATCGAAATTATCACATTATCAATAACTGCTATTGACATTCACCGTCAGCTGATAACAGATGTAACTGTACGTGATAATAGCCCTGCCCAAGCAGCATCTCGGCCCAGCACATGTCAACAGGTTGCCAAGTTGCGAAATGTGAGCAGAGCTCATGAGTCAGAAACTTAGCACACGATATGAAACATTGAAAAAATACGAACTGCCTTCGAATATTTGTAGTCATTTTTAAAACTAAAGCCCATTTTATACGATAAAATGTTTATTTACAAATCAATACCATTTTTCTCTTTATTATTAATTAAAGAATTGATTTGTAGACTGTTTCTCTTATATTTAGTACTCATGCATATTTAAATAAAAAATTTACATAATATATATATATAATTAATCAATTAATTTATTAAAAAGTTATATCAAAAATTCAACTTTGTCATTTATTTAAATATATATATACATATATTCCTTGCATTTTTAGTTACAATTAAGAATTACAAAAAAAAGTGGCTTGTAAACATCTCTAATGCTCTCTAGAGATTCCTACCGTTGTTCAGTTATCAGAACGAAGTTCTCTTTAGTTTGCCTTAAGTGCGTGGAGTTGTGGGACAATTCTAGCAAATCAATAGGTCTTGCAGTTTATAGGCAAGCATGCTGCAAGCTGCTGTTTGCCATAAATACCATTTTATTTGGTCATGCTTTAAATAAAAATTCATTGGCCAAACGTTCTATCAATAAATGCCATAAGCAAGTTTTACGCACATTTTATGACACTCACACACGCACACAGGCACACACACAAACCAATAACTGCGGCTGCTGCCAGGCATTCAAGGAACTCTTACACCTTTTATGACTCCAACACACACTCGCTCTTACACACACACAAACACACACCCACTAGCAGAGACCTCATCGCCGCACAGCTCCACAGGGCAAACAATAAAATGCCAGGCATTTATGTGCGCATATTTCTGATTGTGTGTTAAGTGTGCGTGTGTGTGTTTGTGCGTGTGTGCGTGTGCGTGTGTGTCGCTTCATTCGTGTGTGAGAAAACTCTGCTCCTAATTCATTTAAGTTATATATTCTGTGGCATAGTTCGGGACGCACCTTTCACAGTATTTTAAATTCAAACATCTGTGACGTCACACAATCGTCGCACAACTTGGGTGTTTGGAATTTAAATAAACGAGCATATAATAGGAAAATTGCATGCAAAGCGCGATTAACATATCAAAAATAATGTTTTACAAGTTTTCAGCTTTTCACATTTGCATGCACCGAAAGCAGCAAAAAAAAACTCCATGGCAAACATTTGCGTTTAAGTTTCAAAAATTTATGGCCCAAGTACAGGCAAAACAACAACATGCTGGAAAAATAAAAATAAAAAAAAACGCGTGCAGCCTGCGCGTAAAAATGGAACTACTAATAAGTAAAAACAGAACAAAATAAAAAACTTGTTTAAAAAAATTTGTTTGTGTAGAAAAAAAGAGCGACTAGGAGATGCGCTATGAAAGCTTATATATCTTATAGCTCGATAGAAGCTGCTTAACGATATCGCTTAACTATCTCTTTTTTATCTTCCAGCAGACAGAGGTGGCAAAGAAGCATAGCCAAAAGAAATATACACGCATCATGCATCATACTTTCATCAAAGGCTTAGCTTTGTGGAAATGGGCCAACTTTGCTCCGAAATGATATCACCTTGTTCTCCAAGGGCGTTTCGGTATAAAAGTTTAACAACCGCAGCAAAAGCAGCTCCCTCATTCTCTCTGCTCCTCTCGCCTATTTATGTCAATGCTTTGTTTTAGTTTTTTTTTTATTATTATTATTATTATTGTTGTTGCTGTTGTTTTATATTGTAGGAGGCAGTCGCCTGGTCGGCTGCTTGCATGTCGTACCCACTTGTACTACCTTTTGAACTTGCAATAAGAACAAAAACTGACGCGCATTTCGCCGGTTGTTGGTTCTGGGTCTGACTCTGGTCCCGGCCCTGTTTTATGTGATCAACAACGTGTTTTGTTCTTACTCAAGTTGTTTGGTACTATGCGAAAATTGCTTCGGCGAGAAAAATAAGTGCAGGCATGTCAAAAACAAATACACTCACACACACACACACACAAACAGACTAGAGTGTTTGTTGTTTGTTTTTTGGGGTAGCTCGGAAAAGTTTTTGTGCAGTTTTCTTGTTAGTTTTGAATAACCACCTCATAAAAGTAATACCACAATGTCCTTGCCACAGCAATTTTGCAGTTTGTTGTTGTTATTGTCGCTGTTGTTGCAAGCTTTGCTCATGCACAGCTTGATCGAAATTTAGTGCAAAAGTTTAACGCAAAAAAAATGTAGGTTAAAACGTGTTCCATAGAATGCCAATTAGCTGACACTCGATTGCCTGCCAGCTGCAAGCCAAATAGAGAGTAGCCAGCAGCCACGCCCCCTAATCATAAGCAACGACATTAACAATGTGCGCACCGACATCTAAATTGGAAATCTACCGGTAACAAGAAAATGCATATTTTGGCTGGCTTGTGTTGACTTCCTAGCCACGCCCGCTTTTGCATTTTTCTTTACCCATATTTGCTTATCAAGTGAAATGCATGCAACAGCAACAACAACAACAACACAGCAGATGTGCGACGTGTTGCTTGCTGGCAGCAGTTAAGCGAAAAACTAGCTGTTTCCGGTGCTCAAACACTACGCCAAACTGATTGCGACGCAACAACAACAAAAAAAAGAGACGAGGTATGCAACACTTTTGTTGCATTTGCAATAAATTCAAATGGAATAACAAGAAAAGCGCAACAAATAAAGAGGCAGCTGTGTTATGCTCAATGCATGTTCCCAAAAACATTTTCAACTAAAGAATTGGCTTCTTGATGTGAAATATTTCTTTTACAAAAAACATAGAAACATTTAAAGGATTACCTTTAAAACTAACTGCAATACGCAAAATTCTGACCCACTATCATTAAGAGCTTCACAGCAAGGTTTTAAGATTAATGATAGGAGCTTAGACTCCTTTACTTCCTGCAAAAGAAAACTTAGTTCAGCACGGGAAAGCAACTGCAAAAATGCAATAAGTCAGAAGTTACAAAATTTAATATAAATCCAATTTAGGCACAAGACGGCCAAGCGTCATTCTATGCGAAAACCATCAAAAGAGCCCCAATCCATGACATAAAGTAAATTATGCTTTATGCGTCATTTATGAGGCATATTTCTCGTCTGAGAGCACAACCAAATGTCTTTGTCAGAACCCTGATACGCAGCTCCAACAGTCCGTGGGGAGAAATTCTAGGAACAGCTCCGTCTAAGGCGAATTTTGTCCTCTTCGCCAAAACTCGGCTAACTCAAACATTTTATAGCCTGTGGCCACCTACTGGAGCAGTTACTGCGGTTACCAAGGAGCTATTATTGCACTGTAGGATATTAAACATATTAAATATAAATATAAATTTGATATAATTTTATTGAATTATTCTATAACATATTATGGATACAGAATTTGGGGAGAAAACACAGCACAGAACACGTGACAATAAATTGTAATGTTTTATTGTTGCCGGAAATGTTGACAAGCGCCATGAAAACAAATCGAAAACTTCATGTAAATAAAAACAGGCAGAGATACAGAGCGAGCTGGAAAACTTGTTGTGAACGTTGTGAATCTGTTGCTTTTTTAGCCATGAGGCACAAATTGCAAAACTGTTTTCTATTTACTTATATTTAATTTAATGCATTCTGGCCATCAACATGATAAACTTTCTCTCTGTCAGTTTGGCAATTGTTATTACTTTGAAAAACTTTTGCACTTTTATATGCAATTTTTTCATGCAGCAACACGTTGTACGCTGCGTATGCGTATTATTCGGTAGATGGTAAATTTGTTAAGTAAATTCAACATAAATGCGCTTACAGTGAATGCGTATAATTGTAATATTTACATAGTACAGCTGTACAAATTGAAGCATTAACTCGCCTTTAAAAGCTCACGCATCAGTCAACGCATTTTGGTAACAGTTAAAGCCAAGGCTTAGATCTCACTCAACCACAGACTGGCATTTGTCAGGCGCTGAGGCTTATTTATGTGCGTCGACTGCAGCCATGAATTGACTTTGTGACATTATAGTTGGGCGGCATGCCAGCAATTTAGTCCGCCAGGCACAAGCCCTACATACATCCCTCTAACATATCACATATTGTGCATGGAAATCTGATGTCGACGGCAGCAGGCGGCGCCGTTGTCTTAGTTTACCACATGATGCACTTGCCAAGCGGCAGCGGCGGCGCAGTATGTCTTTGATTTCCGTTTATACTTAAAGCTAACCACAAGTTCACCCTCAGCCCAACCCCCTTTTCCGCTCGAGTGGGTGACTTAATGCAATGCAAGCGGCAAGCAGTCAGCCAGACGCAAGCAAATGCCTTGAAGTACTCTCCAAGTTGTTCGTATTTGTGTCTGTTGAGTGGAAGCTGCTTTATGAAATGGCCATTGAATTGCCACTCAAAGAGGCATAAGCTCTTTTGAATGTGTGTGGGCACAAATACAAGCAACTAATAGAAATAATATATTTAATACGTCAAAATACAGATTCAAATTAATATTTTATGTAAAGATATTAATAATTATATAGGGGAAGTTATATATTTAAAATAAGAGAAGCAATTTAATAGGTATTTAATTGAACGACAAAAAATACATAGAAATGTTATAAAATTATATTATTTAGGATCAAACATAAACATGTAGACCTACCCTCATATCAGTTAAGGCTCTAGGTCTTAAAAATATTATAGGTTTTATTTATTATTTATTTATCTCTTATGCTAGATTTGAAAAGCACTTGCATTCCCGCACAAAAATTGAATTTTTCAT